ATGCAGTCGTCAATTGCAGCCGCAACTATAACAGTTAACAAAAGCAGTGACATCAATCATAATGTTGATAACATCAGCGCATTCAATTGTGACTTTTATAACGCAGTCAACACACATTTTCAACATTCTTCCAACATTAATTACAACAACATCAACAATGTTGATTCGTTCTGCAACGAATTTTTTCAATTCGGCTTCAGTGACGTCGAATTCAGAAGTTTCCCATTTACGAACAGTTTGTTGGATTTTGGAGTTGCTAGTAACAATTTTCAACAATGTTTTGTTGAAAATTGCGAGAACAACAACAGCAATAACACTACAAAAAACTTTAATCCCGGCAACAACAACAATATCCTGTCTTATAACAAGACCATTCACGAAATCGAAAATGTCAATAACATCAATACAAACAACAGCATCATCAACCTGAACAACAACAACAACAATGTCAATACGTTTTACAATCAAAAGTGTTTTGCTCAGACCTCCATATTAAACACATCGTTTTTGTCACCATCGTTGTTCATGCCATCAACAACTTCATCGTCATCAACATCATTTCTATCCATGATATCACCATCCATCTCCCCATCATCATCATTTTCCTCATCGTCGTCGTCGTCATCATCCCCACACAAATCATCACTGACATCGTCACAAATTTCAGAAAATCCATCACAAAGTTCCACACCGGACCAAAGTACCATTTCATCCCAAACTACCACACCACCTTCTCCGTTGCAGGGTACCAGCTCGTCCCTGAGTACCAGCTCGTCCCTGAGTACCAGCTCGTTCCTGAGTACCAGCTCGTCCCTGAGTACCAGCTTGTCCCTGAGTATCAGTCCTTGCCAGCACAACCCATCGCCTCATCATCGAAAGAAACGCAAGCGAGTGATCAACAAGACGCAACGACAGGCTGCCAACCTTCGCGAGAGAAAGCGAATGAATCGACTGAACGAGGCCTTCGAGATTCTTTGGCAGAAGATGCCCAAACAAGCTTTTGGTCAATTTTCCAAGCAAATGGCCAGTCAGATGAAGTTCTCCAGGGTTTTTATTCTAAAGTCCGCACTCGGATATATCGAATATTTGAGTGATATTTTGAGGTCTGGATGCAGTGGTGGTGTGGAATATTTTGGTGCCGGTTGTTTCAATGAGGAAGAGTTTTTGCTTTGAACTTGTTGTGTTGGGTAATTATTTGTTTAAAGATTGAGTGCCTGTAGCCTATATAATATACATATATTTTTTATTTTGTATCTTTCATTATGTATATTTTGTTGCTATTTGGTGCTTCAAGGCTTTGTGTTGCATTTTGTACTTTTGTATTTTTATGTTTTTATGTAAACTGGCGATTTTTATTTTGTTTGATTCAGTTGCGTCATCAAATAATCAGGTAATCACGCACACTTCGTTATCATCTATATCCTAACTAGTCATGCAAATAAGAATGTTTGAACTTCAAATATAAAGTGAAACGTTAACACATTTGGTATTCAACGTGCCTTATTTGGAATTTATAACATTCCTTCGTTTGATTGGTAGTCTTGTTAGTAATAAAGTTCGGCTAAATAATGACAAAACCATCGTCAAATGTCTTTGTTGTCGTTGTTCTTAGCTTCGAATTTGATACGTTCAGAATTCGTCCATCAAGGAAAGAGCCAGCCAACCGGCTGTTGATATTCATTTAAAGCCATCTTCTTAATCTTGAAATGTAAAATTGTTTCTAACGGTTTATTCGTTCGTTCGTTCAAATTTTTACGGCATTTTAGCTCGTTTTCAAGCTATCTTTTCCTCGCTGAAATCTTTTATTTTTTAATAGTTAATTTTTTTTCAATGGTACATGTAGTTTTTCTTAAATTAAAAAGTAACTGCCGATATCGAACTAATCTAAGTCAAGATATAATATAATGTAAACAAAAACAGTGGGTTGCAAAATTTTCCGGGTAAGGTTTAGTTTAGATCCTGAAATGAGCAGGATATATTCAAACGATCCTCTAACTGCATTGCCAGTCAAAAATATTTTTTACGATCAAGTTTGGAATGAGTCAGATTGGCATCAAGGATCTGGAGTAATTCTGGAAGCTTCCGTAAAAAGTCGTCTACGATTTTCACTAATCGACAAAAACCAGCAAAAAATCCGGTATTGTGCATTTGTTTTGCTGGTAAGACGGGCCCACAGACGAGTTTTCGATGGCAAAAAAGAAATAGAGCCAAATTTTAGCGCTACTGAAAAGGTTCGGACCGGATTTTTACATTCCTCATATAAAGTCGTTCCAAAGGGGCAGTCAGATTTTTTGACGTACGACGAATTAGTGAAGATCATCCAACCGACGAATGTTTTAACTGTATTTGGACTTGACACGAACGAGAAAGACAGCTTCATCAACGTATTCCTAGAAGAAAATGATCTGGAAAAGCTGGAGATAAGCGACAAGGATGAAATCAGATTGAAAACCAAAGGTAATAGTCCATTTTTAGAGAATTTGTGCAAAATAAATGCCCTAAATTCAGCCTTATCTAATTATGCTGGAGACGATAAAATAGGAGCTTCTTGGACAGACAAGATCATGGCTGTCAAACAAAATCTGGAACTTCAGGAAGAGGAACCAAATGATGAATGGGATGATTGATTTGTAATGAATTAATAATAATAATGACACTCATTTTTTACTTTTGTTTACTTTCGTACTTATTTTACATTATTCTGTAACTATGATTAAACATTATTGCTTTGTAATAATTTGTATAAGTTTCTAAGCAGCTATGCAATATTTACAATTTCATGCTTAAATTAATCTGTTTAAATCTGTTCTTATGTTGTTCTATAATGTTTTTTATACCTGATATGGTTTGTATACCTAGAAGTGATCAGGTTTTAATTAAATGAATGATTAATGCAGCTTGTAATATTTCGTTACCTGTAAAAAAGTTTTAAAAGTTGCTTGTATTTTCAAATTCTCAAATGTGCGCATACGATATTATAAAAGTAAATATTGCTGATGTATGTTTTCGATGAAGTTTTTACATGTATGATATACCTATGCCAAATTATTCCCATTTGATTTTAAAATACGATTTATTTACAACACGGTACCATTATTTAATTTATGCTAGGTTTTATTATCTTTGTTTACATTTCGAGTATATTTAATGTCGGCTGTTCGTTTGCGATTCTAAAATAAAAAGTTATCCGATCTTCTGCCTGATTGAATCTTAATAAAAAAAGAGAAGATACATTTGTGAAAGTAATTTAAATTTTTTGATTTTATAATTTTACATTTCCGTTTGTGCCGGCTCTTGTATTGAGCGATAATAGTGTGTTGTTTTGACCTTTTTTTGCGGAATTCTAATTGCCTGTTTAATGTTTATTACTGCTGTAAGCCTCTAACAGATTAAATTTATGAATTATAAAGCGATGGACCATCGCCGTTGATGAATGACTTTTAAAAATTTAATTGGTTTCAGAATCATAATCTTTCATTTCATCTCTTTCAGTTTCTCTTATAAATAAAGAAGAATTGTTCTATCTAGAACCTCTAGAGAAAGGGCTGGACAATAGACAGACGTCATCGTCATTCTTCAAATTTAAACAAACAGGTTGTTAAAGAACCAGCATTATGGATTTTCAACATAGGCCTGGTGGTAAAACAGGGATGGGCGGGGTGGCCTCTGCCTCTGATGCAAACAGGGACAGGCGTGAAAGATTAAGGCTTCTAGCCCTTGAAACTATCGATTTAAATAAGGTTTGTTCATTGGCTGGTTGTACAATGTTATTGTATCATAATTTTTCACATATATTTTAAATTAAAATTCATATTATATTTGAATTAGATTTTATTGTGAATAATTAAATATATATATAATTTTTTCTGTCTAATCTAATTATCGAAGCTTATTTTTTGTAATTAAGTTTGTGTTTCACCAATCTGGGTTTCACAATTCTAATTGGTTCACTGATAAAATACTTTCATATAATTCTTTTTTTTCAATCTTTAGTACAAAGCACTTACATTTTTTTAAACTTTTATTTATATTCAATGAATCTTACAATTTTGACGAACTCTAATTAATAAGTTATTAATTTTTTAAAAATAATTTTATTTTGTAAAAAAAAAACATTTAAATTATCTAAAAATAAAATTTTCCAACAGGACCCATACTTTATGAAGAATCATCTTGGCTCTTATGAATGCAAGTTATGTCTGACACTGCACAACAATGAAGTTAGTCATACCTTTCAGCTACTATGTTTTTCCTTAATTTAATTTATTTTTGATAGATATATTTTTCGACTAAATATTTTAGATGTAAGTTTAAACAATGTTGAATTTTAATAATCCTTGAATATATTTTATTTTAATAAACTGAAATTTTACATTTCAGGGTAGTTATTTAGCTCACACGCAAGGCAAAAAGCATCAAGCCAATTTGTAAGGGAATTTATTTTATTAATTATTTACTAATCATGATTTTTATTTTTTTGCCATAATATTATTTGTAGAGATAAAACATGAACATGCCTTCGTTAAGGACCCCCTAGCATCTAGTTTCATGTAGAGGGGTTTGGGTTCGAAGGCAGATAGAGCACTCTTCGTATATACATATCTACACAATGTTCATGCATGCTTATGTGTAATGCACATGTGTGTACGTATTTGTTTTGTGTATGTGGATATATGAGAGTGCAGGAATTGATCAAAGTCAATTACTTCAGATTTGAAATTGATTTGATATCCGATTCCTACAAAATAATTACATTTGTTCATTATTGCTTGGATTAATTTTTTTTAAGTTATTTAAAAATTTTTGTTTTAATTAATAATTAATTGTATAATTATTAAAATCATTCTCACAGAGCCCAGAGAGCAGCAAAGGAAGCGAAAGAGTCGCCGATCCAGCCGTCACTCGAGAAGCCTCGCATCGACGTCAGGAAGTTTGTGAAGATAGGCAGGCCTGGGTACAAGGTCACTAAGCAGAGAGAACCTGAAACTGGACAACAGAGCCTCTTGTTTCAGGTGTGTGTCTTTGTTTCTCCATGTGTATGTGTGTGTGTGGGAGCGTGCGTGTGTATATTTATTTGTGTGGACGTTACAAATTTTTCTTAGTTTGTTTTATATTTTAATGTTTATGACTGATTATTCGATGGTGATGGTTGTTTGAGTGGGTAGATTATGCTAAACAATATTATCGATTACAAACTCTAATTCATTTTGCTGATAATTAATTAATCCTTGTAGACTAAAATTTATTTCAATATTTTTTCATACATAGATTGACTACCCGGAGATTGTGGACAACATCCAGCCCAAACATCGATTCATGGCAGCTTACGAGCAGAGGATCGAGCCCCCAGACAAGAGATGGCAGTACCTGCTCTTTGCTGCTGAGCCTTATGAAACCATTGGGTTCAAAGTAAAAATTCATTCAATTTTTGTTCTTTGTTGGATAGGTTTTAAGTCATTTTAAATCGTAAAATTACTGATATGAGGTTATTTTTACATCTCTTTTTAAAAAGTTTGTACACGAATACATTGAAAACTTTAAAAAATGTATTTGTCAGGTGCCTAGTAGAGAAGTTGACAAGGAATCATCTAAGTTTTGGACCAGCTGGAATAAGGAAACAAAACAGGTTTGATACACTCGTCCCTAAACATTATTTCACTTTGTAAATACATACATGCTATTAAGTTAAAAACTCAATAGTGTAATAAACTTATTACTTTAATTTAATATTTTTCCAGTTTTTCTTACAATTTGCATTCAAACTGGAGTCAACAAAGCAGCAACCACAGCAACAGCAGAAGATACCAAGCTCACTGCCCCCACCACCACCTCAACAACAGCCGCCCAACAACCCACCAATGAGACCACCACCTGGACTGCCCATACCTCCCCCGGCAGCTGGCCAGAACATCAACCTGCCTCCTCCTCCCCCCCCACCAACACTTTAAATTTTTGTTACAAACTGACCGGCTCTGCAGAGCTGATGAATTAATTTCAATTCGTTTTTGTTTGGTTCATGAGTGCATGGTTCATTTCATTATTTTGCCTGCTCGTGGTTTTTTTTCTTGTCTTGTATGAACGAATTTTATTTGAATAAAATTAATTTTTTTTTTTTAATAAAAAAAAAAAATCTAATCTGACTTATTCTGTTGGAAAAGAATTCGTGAAAAATCTGAATTAAAAAGTACTCAAAACAAAGAGTCACTCAGTGTTCGTATTTCGTTAAGGTTTAATTTAAAAAATGTAATATCTTAAAGTAACGAGTAAGAACGAAAAGAAATCAAACTAAACTAAACGAAAGAAACGAAGAGTTAGAAAAGAAAAAAGCATTCAATTCATTGCTAGCTGGCATCACAGCACAACACACTAGCTAGATAGCTCATCAGCTAGCACGCGTTACATCAGCCAGATAGCTTGCACGATTATAATAGTGCACTTGTTGTTGGTGCATACAACGTGTTCATGCTAGATCAGAAACAGCCTCTAGGTATCAACAGAGTGGAATTTAGATTCTGAAATCATCACATCTAGCATGTTTGACACGAATTATTGCTAAAAACATCCAAAATCAGTTTTTTTTTTCTAATAGATCGTCTGCCGAATAATTTGTGGAGTTATCTTGAAACTGTTAAACACGTTTGGCCTAACAATCTTGATTTAAACTCTGCAATTATCTTGATTCGAATTGATCATCCAGCAGCGTAAAAGCCGTAAGTTGGATTTGTTTTAATTCAGAATCGAAAAAAATTAATCGTTTTTTGGAAGAAAATTTGCCACATCAATCCACTAATTCAACACGCTACCAGCGAAATCGCACGAAACAAACAGAAAGGCATGGTCCACATAGAACAGGAAACACATCAGCATAGATAGATCAGCGGCAAAGATATAAAGAGTATTAAATAAAACATCTTTGATAAACAATCTATCACTTATACAACGAATTTATACTTATCATCGCCGATATACATAGCATGATACAAACACATGTTTTGTTAAATACATGCATTTATTTGTATTTTTTTATGTAAAATAATTTTTTTTATGTAAAATAAATTGCAATCCAGGTAAGTTATCACCTGGTGTGCAACGGAGTAGCAGTATTTTTGTTTACAACAACATAGTATTTACATTTACAGAAAATATTGTATGCAATACAAATACTTATTCATCATTTGTACATACTTTTTATACATTCATTCCTACATTTAGTGACTTAGATTTACATTTTTGTATATAGTTTTTATGTATTAGCGTGTAAACTGTACACAACGAGAAAATATGTACGTTCGTATGAGATTGTGGAATACTGATGTACGTCGTACACAGTTGATTTAAACATACATCCTAAATGCTCAAGTTAAAAAAATTTAATGTTTGATTGAATTTTAATTGACGTTGAACTTAATTTTACAACTACTGTAGCTTTAGCGTTATTGAACTATAGTAATGTACAGAAATATATTTAATTGATTTAATAATAAATTAACATTTCTATCGCTTTAGCTTGGATACATAACGGCTACCGACAACAAGAGCCCCAAAAATGCCATTCAAATCACTGAATTCCATGCCCACGAAAAGGGTGTACCTGAAAGCCGTCGAATGCAACGGGTTCATATATGGCATTGGGGGTAGTGACGCCAAGGGCCAGCCCATAAACAGCATGGAGAGCTTCAACCAATCAAATTCAAAATGGAAGGGACATGGCTGTATGTCGGTAAACAGAGCAGCACCAGGTTGCATGGTCGTCGGGGAAAGTATCGTAGTGATGGGTGGAATCAGCGATGGACAAGAGGTTACCGATTCGGTAGAGGTGTTCGATACAAAAACGAAGGAGTGGAGTGGTAGAGATGGGATGAAGGAGGCCCTCAGTGGCATTGCGTGTGTTGTTCACGGTAGGTCGGTCTCGATCAGATCATTTTTTGTTTCCATTTTTAATACTTTGTATGTTTTCATTTATTTATTGTCAGTTAATGTAAGTTTACGTAAAAAAAATTCATATAGGATCAAATCCTGATAAACCTTCAAACTGTTTAATATATAATTTTTATACAAGCGCGCAAGGATCATGTATATTTTTGAAATATGGCAATCAAATTGACCAGACGACAGAATTTTTGTTGTTGGCGGGTCAGCTAAAGACACGAACCCTAGAGACTACCTGATGCAGTATGACCTGCAGAATAAAACTTGGAAGTCTCTAAAAGACATGCCTACGGCCAGATACGCTGCTACTGCCTTCATTCTCCGGGACAACTTGTACGTCATAGGTGGGGAAAATGTTTATTTTAATATTTAAATTTTAAAAAAAGTTTTTTTTCTTCTTTACATTCGAACATATTCACTACAACAGCAGCGCTAGGCATCTTAATATCTATATATATCTGGTATATACCACCAATCAAGTTCAGTTCTAGTGTGAAACTTTGGTGATTAATGCGTTTTTAGTGTTTGTTGATCTTTTCAATGTACCATCTTTGAATGAATTTTTAATATAAAACAAGTCTGAATGCAATGATGAAATAAAAGTATGAATTGTCATTAAGTATGAAAAATAGAAACCGTTATGATCAAATTAAATTAAATTAAACTAAATTAAATTAAACTAACTAATCCGTGTATCTTTTGAATTTTTGTTTAATTTCTATTTCGTTTTTTTACAGGCGGTCGACAAGGCAAACTAGCAACAAACGCATTTGAGGTTTTTGACATGAACGTAGGTACATGGAGAAAACTGCCCAACCTTCCTTCTAAGAATGTTTTCAACCAAATCGTGCACACAGACACGCACGTGTATGCCTTAGGAGGGTTGGATAAAGACCAGAAGATTAAAGATACCTTGGAGATATTCGACCTCAAAACAGGTTTCGCTTGTTTTCTCTTTTGGAAATTTTGAATTGTGAAGATTGTCTTCCTCTTAGTTTCTAAAATTAAAAATTCAAATGAAAACATGAATTTTTTCACTTAAAAGTTTATTTATGGTGAAATTTTATGTAAATTTGCATTGATAATAGTTAAAGATAAACGTTTTACACATCTAATTATTAAATGTCTTTCAGAAAAATGGACCCAAGGCCCGAGTATGAAGAACAAAAGAGCGGATTTTGTAGCAGCGATGTTGAACGAGAAGTTATGGGTGGCTGGAGGCGTGAGTGAAGTAGGTGAGTTTTGTGGCTTTCTTGAAGTTCGAATAGTTATTCTCAAAGTGAAGTTTATTTTTAATATCAAATTAGTCGATTTATTAAAAAAATATGTAATTATTTTTTTGACGATTCTCTAATTAATTAATTTGTTTTCAATATTTATTCATCGAATTATCAAAACTAAGTAAATTCAATTAAGCTTGCAACTTTACCGGTTTTTTCAGACAAAATAAAAAAACCGACGGATAGTGTCGAAATATTCGATCCGACAAACAACACCTGGACCGACCACCCAAGCGTCCCATCTCCGTTCTGTTCAGCTTCCTACTGTACATCTAAGGATAATAAACTCTACGTTGCAGGGGGCATGACGTTGGATGGCGTCACTAACAATTTTTTCGTTCTCAGCTAATCATGAACATATGCTACTGTTTTCTTTTGGTGGTTTTAGATTCAAATTTTTTAAATTCGTGTCTTCAGCCTTCTTCTTTTAGAAATATTCTATATCTAAGTTAAATCGTGTATTTATTTTTCTGAGTATTAAATACTTTTTATCTGCTTTTTGTTCTGCGCCATTTTCGGATAATCATTTTAAATTATATATATAAATAAGATTATTATTTTTCAGTTATGGCTGATTGCGTTCTTGTTTTTTTTTATATACCACCAATTATAATAATAAGGCGTACGCATAGAAAATGCGACAGGGGTAGGTACGTTGTAACTTGAAACCAAACTCTTGCTCACATGTGTGTTGTCACTCACTTTTGCTATTAAATGGTACTTAACAACCCTCATATTTGATCTATTCGACGTATTTTTAAATATTTTTGTAGAAATTATGATAAAAACATTCTGTCAACCCGGTGAAGATATTTTTTACTGTGGCTCTTTTTTTTAAATAGTCTGTATATGTTGATGTACAGATAAAAATGGATGTTTTGAAAAACCGGTAGACTGCAACACAACAGCCTTTTATTAAGATTCGTTAGATTCAAATAAGGATGTTTAGACAGAAGCGGAATCAAATAGTTTACTACGCGTGAAACGTTAATTAAATAATAGAGAATCCTGAGCAAAACACTTTTAGCCATTGTTGACGTCATAATTTGTTTTTGTCTTTTTAATTAAAATTAATATCAATTTTTATACTTTATAAACGTTTAAAAATAACAAAAACAACAAAAAATGAATTTATTTTATATTTTAATATACTCCCTCGTAGAAAGTTTGAAATTTGCTGATTAAATTCATTGTAAATTTTTCTTTCCGCATACATACTAAATCAACATTCAACATACACCAAAAATAAGATATTGCATAACGAAAATTGAACACAAATAACAAAGTTAAACATAATTGATAAAAAATTGAATTAACAAATAAATATTAACGATAATAAATCATAAAAATAAAATAACAAATAAATAACGCTAACAAACCATAGTTAGATTAGTGGTTGGAGTCTCGAAAGATTGCTCCTACCACGCACATCACTGCTTCTACGTCGTCCATGTCGGCACGAGCGTCGTGACGAACACAACTTCAGCCAATGCCATCTGTAAGTCTCGTGCAAAAGAGGGGTACCTTTTGGAACCCTACGATAGGACAATGCACGTGGCAGCCAGGAAGTATGCCGAACGCAAAGGGAATAGGAAGACCCTTTTCCCCGTTAACGCCCTGTACGTTCACACGGAGAGTCTCAAAAATATCTTGTCCAATCAGACGCCTGGTTTTTTCCAGTTTTTATTAATTTTTATCAGTTTGTTTGCCATTAGATTTGTAATATAGATACAAATTGGAAATCGTGAATAGTTGATAATGCCTACAAAATGATACTTAAATTCTTAATTCGTTATGATATATCAGAATTTTTTTAAATATTATATCTACGCTAAAATCTGCCTGGCTCTCAAATGGCAAATCAAAAATTCTCAATAAATAAATTTAATTGAAAAGAATTCATTTATTGAACCAAGTAACACTAAACTGGTTTAATTAATTTTTCTCATTCAGATTCAATACCTCCGAATATAGAAATAGACAAAGAGCAAAGTGAAAAAAATTACCTTTATGCAACTCTGGATGACAGCAAACAGTCGTGGATCTTCAAAACAGCCGACCACCATCACTTGCATCGAACAGTTTGCACCTTCAAGAACAAGGAACTCCCGTGCACTAGAAAATATACACCGGCTAAATTAATTCTTAGAGATGAAACTAACAAATTTAAGGCTAGTTCAAGTTTAAAAATAGACTATCCAGAATATGTCCCGGCAAAAAATGTAAAGGTTATCAACGGTTCATTTTATTTCGACAATCATACATGGAATGTAATGTTTGATTACTTGAAAATGCATGGAAATATCGATTGGTTGGCATTCCACAACAATTCCAAACTGAAACAATTCATATGTGAGTTCATGTTATACTCCAACAAATCCTACGTTCTGACTGAGAAGGATTTCAAAGAAGTTGGCATTAACATCAAAACCTTTCAGAAAATGACAAATTTCCTCAAGTTCATCAAAACGCAATACAGAATTGATGTTCGCTCGAGAGATAGCTTGATTATAAGACCGGCTTCTGGTTTATTCAAAGGAGCTGCCGAAAAATTTTTGGGCTGGCTCAAGGGTGACTTTATTGAGAAGTTATGTAGATTTTTGGCACTGTTATTTAATCCGAGTAAGTTAACTCAGGAGGAGGTGGAAGATATGCATATACCTTGGACGTTGTTTTCGATTTACAAAGATTTCCTTTTTCCGATTCTTGATGCTATGATAGGTATTCAGCGAATATCAAATCTGGTAATAACCATTTGTTACAAGATACAAGCCATTCTCACACCTCTCTTGAGAATGAACTGGTCGGCGATTCTCAGTGGAAAACTCCAGTCCATTTTTGAAGGGTTGGATCTACAGTTTATTGGAGACCTGATCTTGAAAAATGACAAAAGTTTATTTCATTTCTCGGAAAATATGTTAGACTCGGTGAAAAATGTGCCAACAAGTCAAGTTAGCAAATATAAATCGTCTATGTCAAAATTAAGTAGCTCCGTAAACAAAAAACAAACCAGTGTGAGCAATTTGATTGGAAATTTTAAAAATGGCAACATGCTTAATTGGAGAAAGTTTTATAATGGTGGCCAATCGAGTTTTTCTAAAATAGCTAATCTTGATTTTAACAAAATGGGTCAGATTTATTCGAGTTTGAAGGGCAAGGTTGATGACATATCCCCTAGTCTTCTTACAAAATTCGGCATGAAGGTTGATGGAGATCATTTTTCGTTAGTTAAAAAAGCTTTAGGAGGCTTTGAAAATTCAATAAATACATTTGGATTCAATTTAAGTGGAATAGTTGCAAAACATTACGGGGGTTTTGATAATAAATTTATTAATTCGGTCAAAATGTTAAAAACTTCAGGCATAAACGTGAAGGCATCAAGCTTACAAAAGTTATCTGGCATGGTTGGAAGGGAAGAAGATGAAGAAAACGAGTCCGATGTTGAGGTACCATATGGAAAATTGGTGAAAAATCACAAAAGAAGATCTTTATCTAAACAACAATCAAACCCTCTAGCAGATCCAACAATTTTAGAAAATCCATTTGCTGTATCAGAGTCTATTTTGGGAAATCTGTCAATACCCAGAACGGATTGGAACGCCATGGTGCAGCGTGTAGGTGACAACGAAAACCCTTACAAATTTGAAAACCCTTATAAGATTATATTTAGAAAATACTTTGCTGATTCATGCCTGGTTATCTACAATGCGGTGACAACATGGTACGAAGCACAAAATATGTGTGCTAATAATAGCGGTTCCATGATTGCTTTCACTGATGATTTTCCACTTGAAGCCATGAACAACAAAATGTTTTTCCAATTATCTGAATTTGTTTCTTTCTGGGTTTCATCTTCTAAAGGAATTTGGGTCTGGGGAAAAAGAGGTTGAATTTCTAGTAAATTTAAAATAAATTTTGTTGGTTTTTAATTTTTTATCCACTATCATGTAAATGTTCTATACCAATTAGTTAAGCACTTATACTGATACATCTCTTCTTTAAAAAATAAATATTTTGTTAAGATCAAAAGCCTTTATATAAGTATACGTACAATGGAAACAAATATCACAGAAAGTTGTTTATTCGTCTGAGCGTTAGACGTTTCCGGCATATAAGTGACATTTTCGCGTGAGAATTTAACAGGTCCTCCATTTCTTGGTGTCAACGCGTGTTAAAGAAATTTGACTAAGGATGTGATTGTAAACATTTAAAAATAAATCAACACAAATCCTTTTTAGGCCTGCAGATATCTTACAAATGAATATAATATTACTAATTATAATGGGAACATCCTTTTATTTTTTAACTCCAAATACCAAATATTAATAATGAAATAATTATAAAATCCTATTTAATCTAAAATGCTCTTCACTGCAAGTGAGTACATTTTAGAGGGGCTGGTTCAATTGTTCAATTGGGGTTCAATCATTCTTATTATTTTGGCGTTATCAATCAAATTTTATGGTAAACATAGAGTTGCAATAAAGTTATAATAATAATAATAATATTAATAATAATAATGATAATAATAATTATAATAATAAGAGATCTATCACTAACAATTCGTAATTATAACAACAACAAATAGTAATTTAAGTGAGATTACAACTCAACCAGGCACAGCGCTAACTTGGAGTACATTTACTGGCTACACTGAATTCACGAACAACAGGAACTTTGTGTTTCTTCAAGTGGGGGCCAAAACTTACAGCTGGTACGTCTCTGCCAATTGGGACCCTGAAGCCACTAATGGGAAGATCATTTGCATGATAGGTCATAAATTTTTTTCATCATTATTATACGCCTATGACAAAAGCGTGACAATATACTTATCATTTCTTACTTTTTTAGTTTCATTTCAATTCTCATGTCAAATAGACTGTTGGCACCATATAATAAGTTTTTGAAGTTTTGCACAAAGGGTAATCGAACCAGGTGGCCGTGCAATAACAATGATTCACGATATAGGCATTCTATTATTTGAGCCCTATTGCACCACGGTTTTTGATTCTAAACATAGGAAATGTTTTCAAAATCGTTTAAGGTTAACACAAAAATTTCTCCATAAATAAAAATTATGTGAAGTATTTTTTGCGTTCATTTTTTTTTCAGATGACAATTCTTCAAGACGTAACTATTATTGCATAATTTATTTATCCTTTTTTCATTTTAAATCAAAATATTTTTAAATTAATTAATATTTATACGAATAATAATAATAATAATAATAGTAGTAGTAGTAGTAGTAGAAGTAGTAGTAGTAGAAGTAGTAGCAGCAGCAGCAGCAGCAGCAGTAGTAGTAGTAGTAGTAGTAGTAGTAGTAGTAGTAGTAGTAGTAGTATAGTAGTAGTAGTAGTCGTTGTCGTAGTAGTATAGTAGTAGTAGTAAAAGTAGTAGTAGTAGTAGTAGAAGTATTAGCAGCAGCAGTAGTTCTAGTAGAGTGTTAGTATTAGCAGCTGCAACTATGTATATTATGCATATATATATATATAATATATTTATTTCAATTTCAGTAATTTTATACTGGTGCTTCCTAACGTTTGGTTTATTTGCCGCCATTTGTATAGCCCTAATATTCACTTTCTACGCCATGAGAAAAAGCCACTTGCGGATAAAGTCAGTAAATTTATGAATGATTTTGAAGGAAAAGTTATACTTTTTATATTATTTTTAATTTTTATTATGTAAATCATTAAATATTAGAGAGAAAAAAGGCTTTCTTGGTACTTTTAGGCTGATTGGCCTGGAAAATTGAATAATAAATATACTAAAAGTTATTGTTAAATCCCAACATACGCATAATTATATCAAACGTTATTAAAATATAAAATTCATATTTTTTATTTTAAATTTTCAAATTGAAAAAAAATTTCACAAAAATATTTTCCCCAAACCAGGAATAAAAAAGCTGGAGACTCACTTTCGCTGGAAACGAGTAACGCCGGCAGCGGTGGGAATAGAGTGGCCATATAAACCAATTTGGCAAAATTTATTTGAAAATCGATCTCCGGGTGTTTTTTCGCTACTCCCACCGGATCTATATCTTTAATTTTCAAATGAATAAAAATATAGATAAAGAAATTTTTTTTAAATACATGCCAGATTAACAGACCTTGGACGAGGTAGGAAAAAAGGGCCATTTGGCAAGGGTCTCCAAATTTGAGGCCCATCTAAGCCGCGTTATCTAACCAGGGCCTCAAAATGGTTCGTGCAGGTCGTAGAGCAAAAATGGAACAAGCGCCTGAATTTCGTAGCTTTCTGCATCACAAGAAGTTTCTAAAAATGTCACTGTTGAGTTTTTCTAAATTTACTCGTTCAAAACTTGCAAAATAAACTGGTTTTATCGGTTTCAATTGAGTTCATTGAAAGTTAATACAATTATTTTAAAAATTTTATGACAGTCAGTCTGTAATTTAACTTATAATTTATACAATCTTTTTGGGATATTTTGTAGAAAACGAAGTTTTTGGATATTGTGAGCGAATTATTATTTTTAACTATCTATATTGGCCATTAAACTATCTATATCGACCCGTTGCTCTTTTATCAAATTTTTCGAAAATAATAGAAAAAATAATGTACAAAAGGCTAAATACCTTCTTCAAAAAAAATTCCATAATTAACGATTCACAATTTGGATTTCGAGAGAAGTACTCGACTGAGCTGGCAATAATAGAATTGATCAGAAAAATAGGGATCGCAGCAGAAGACAAAAAATACATCGTAGGCACGTGCCTTGATCTCTCGAAGGCATTCGATTGCATCAACCACAACATCTTGCTGGCGAAACTAGACCATTATGGAATACGTGGCTCGCAACTGAAATGGTTCAGAAGTTACTTATCGGAGAGAAGTCAATTTGTTAGCTGGCAGGGTACATGCTCGAGCGAAAAATTAAACCAAATTGGAGTACCTCAGGGCAGTATTTTGGGTCCATTGCTATTCATTGTCTTCATCAACGATCTCCCGAAAGTTTCAACATTCTTTGATTACATTTGCTTCGCAGATGATACTAATCTATTCAGTACAGGCAAAAACATCGATGAACTCATCTTGAAGACTAATAGTAAAATTAAAAAGGTTGTCTCATGGTTTGAATGTAATATGTTGACATTGAATAGCAGAAAAACTCAAATGATTATTTTTGGCCCAGTCCAATATTTAAACTACAAGGAGCCATATAAGATTGTAATAAATAATTCGGATATTCTCGAAAGCAAAACTGTTAAATTTTTAGGAGTAATATTGGATCAAAAATTATCGTTTCAACAACATGTTCGATATGTTTGCACAAAACTAGCAAGATCAATTGGTCTATAA